GAGGCCGCTGCGTGGAGCGCTACAGTTACTACACATGCGACTGTGACCTCACAGCTTTTGATGGGCCGTATTGCAACCACGGTCAGTGCCGCTGGTTACGGGGGTCAAGAGCCATAGGGCATAATGGGATGGAAGGAGGGAGGGAAAAGGGTGCAAAGTTAGCACCTGGAAAACTATAGTTGTTGCTGGGTTCCTGAGCTCTGAGCTGTGGGAGTCGGGCAGTTGAAGATGCTGACTCCAGAGTTATAAAGAGGGGACAAGGAAGGGATGCTAAAGCTAGCTGGTGCTAAAAGAGCTCAAAAGCATGAAGCAAATAACTTCGTTTTCCTACTTATCACCAAGGTAACACAGGTTGCCCCCTTACATGCATACTGACTTTTGACTGCACGATGCTGTCCCATGCCATTTCCTGCTTGATGGTCACTGCATTCCTAAAGCATGTCTACAACTGGGTTCTTGGTTAAGGCGAGCCTTTGACATTCAGCATAGCAGGATTCTGCACAGATACCCAGACTGCATCTTCTCTAAGGCTGACCTAGGGTGATTCATGAGCAGGTAGGTTGCTGTGGGAGGAGTCTGGCAGCCTAGGGAGATACAGGGACTTAGGGACCAACGAAAGACTTCAGTCTTGGTTTGGGAGTGTGAGTAGAAGCACATATACTGGATGAAATCAGGTATCTCAATTCTAATCTTGGCTCTCCACTGTGTGTCTTTGAGCAAATCACTACCCATCTTTGGGCTTCCATTTCCTCACTTGTAAAATGCAGGGGTCAGATTAGATGATCTTTCAAGTTTCTCATTGCTTCAAGAGTCCATTTGGGACAGAGGGCCTCAAAAGGACCTAAAAATAAATGGGGGTATTGAGAGTGGCAGAAACCGAAGTGAGTCTCAGGGTGCATGTGTACAGGTGACATAAAAACCCTCTGCATTTGGAGATGAGGAATCAGGGGTCCTGACCTCATTGCCTCTGCCTTCAGATATTGGTGGTTTCTTTGAGCCGGGCACTTGGATGCGCTATAACCTCCAGTCAGCACTACGCTCTGCAGCCCAGGAGTTCTCCCATATGTTAAGCCGGCCGGTGCCAGGCTACGAGCCTGGCTACATCCCAGGCTATGATACCCCTGGCTACGTGCCTGGCTACCATGGTCCTGGGTACCGCCTGCCTGACTACCCACGGCCTGGCCGGCCTGTACCTGGGTATCGGGGGCCTGTCTACAACGTGACAGGAGAGGAGGTCTCCTTCAGCTTCAGTACCAACTCCGCCCCGGCAGTCCTGCTGTATGTGAGCTCCTTTGTGCGTGACTACATGGCTGTGCTCATCAAGGAAGATGGTAAGCCTCCCCACCCACAGGCTCCCTCCCTAGCCTCCTCCAGGTGCCCTAATTCCCATAGCTATTGACTCACAAGGACCCAAATGCTCTGAAAAGATGGGGATTGTGGGAATTGAGAGAACTTATTTCTCCTCCCCGTCCTGTAGGGACCTTGCAGCTGCGTTATCAGCTGGGTACCAGTCCCTATGTGTACCAGCTGACTACCCGGCCAGTAACCGATGGCCAGCCCCACAGTGTCAACATCACCCGGGTCTACCGCAACCTCTTCATCCAGGTATGTGAGGAGAGAGGTGGACCAGTTTGATCACAACCTCATAATCTTGGTTGTGGCACCCAAGAAAATGTCAAATGCTTAACATGCGTCAAGCATATTTCAGTATACTGAGGATTTCGTGTGTGTTACCTAATGTGACTCTCCTGTAAGCTCTTTGAGATAGTTTGGTTGGCAAACACACTGAGGATTTCGTGTGTGTTACCTAATGTGACTCTCCTATAAGCTCTTTGAGATAGTTTGGTTGGCAAACATTCTGATCTCCATTTAACAAATCAATAAACAGGCTCAGAAAAATATAAAGTGGTTTTCTCAAAGTCAAACTGGTAGTGCTGCAAAGACAGGGCTCAAAAACCAGATTATTTGCCTGGCTTGGTGTTTCATACCTATAATCACAGCTACTCAGGATGTGCAGGCAGGAGGTTCTCAAGTTTGAGGTCATCCCAGGCAAAGTTAGCAAGACCCTATCTCAAAAACAAAATAAAAACAAAAGGGCTGGGGGCATGATTCAAATGGTAAAGTGCTAGCCCAACAAGCACAAAGTCCTTGAGTTCAATCCCCAGTACTGCAAAGCAACACAAAACACCCAGATTGTTTTAGAAAGAAACATGCCAAGTCCTACATCTGGGACCAAGAGTTACCCCTGGACTCACACATGGGAGCTCTAGTTTGAGCAGAATGAGAGTTGAGTGAAAGCTCCTTTGTGGTTGTTGGCTGTGTCTGTCTGAATCCTCCTTCCCTCCCTCCCTCACTGCCCTCCTCCCCACAGGTGGACTACTTCCCACTGACAGAACAGAAGTTCTCACTGTTAGTGGACAGCCAGCTGGACTCCCCCAAAGCCTTGTATCTAGGGCGTGTGATGGGTAAGCTGTGGGTGATGGTGGATATGGGGCAAGGAGTTTTGGGTAAGGTCCTGGGAGCCTAGAGAGCGAGGCACTCTAGGAATTGTGGTGAGGGTGGTAAGAAAGATTGGTGGCAAGAGGGGCAAGACTTCTGGGTGGTCCAAGACCCTCTCCTTCTGGGCTTGCCTCTCCCTCAGAGACAGGAGTCATTGACCCGGAGATCCAGCGCTACAACACCCCAGGTTTCTCAGGCTGTCTGTCTGGTGTTCGGTTCAACAATGTCGCTCCCCTCAAGACCCACTTCCGAACCCCTCGGCCGATGACTGCTGAACTGGCTGAGGCCCTGCGAGTTCAAGGCGAACTGTCTGAATCTAACTGTGGAGCTATGCCACGTCTGGTCTCAGAGGTGCCACCAGAGCTTGATCCCTGGTATCTGCCCCCAGGTACATTCCTGAGACACAGATGAGGGATGACAGGGCAGGGAAATGATCCTTAACACGGGGGAGGTGTCTCCTAACTGGTGCTTTCTCCTTTTCAGACTTCCCGTACTACCATGACGATGGATGGGTTGCCATACTTTTAGGCTGTGAGTAGCACTGACCACAAACCTGATCTCCATTCTCTCCCTGCCCTATCCCCAAGGCTTAAGAGTGGTAAAGGTGATACATTCCTGATGGTACAAAGAAGGATGAGATAGGCTATGCTGAAAGTAGTATAAAACTGAGCTGGAGATTTCTTAATGTTTGAGGATGCTCTAAATTTTTAATTGAAATATTAAAATGTAGCTGTAGCTAACATGAGGAAATAGGGAGGCAGTGACAGCTACAGATGGGAAATTAGGGTAAGTACTAGAGAAGTGGAAAGAGAATATTAGATATAGAAGTTGGCAGGAGATAAGCCAGGAACTCTGATGAGGTCCTATAGTGATGAGGTCACAGTTGTACATGAGTGTTTTGGGCTAAAATGTGTGTGTGTGCACTCATGAGCTCGTGCGAGTGTATCTATGTGTAGGTGAAACCTCAAAGCTCTTCCCTGAATCACTCCTTTTCTTCCTTTTAGTTTTGGTGGCCTTCCTGCTGCTCGGGCTGGTGGGGATGTTGGTGCTCTTCTATCTGCAAAATCATCGCTACAAGGGCTCCTACCACACTAATGAGCCCAAGGCTGCCCATGATTACCATCCTGGCAGCAAAACTCCCCTACCTTCTTCAGGCCCTGCCCAGGCCCCTGCCCCCACGCCAACTCCCACCCAAGTTCCAGCCCCAGCCCCAGCCCCTGCCTCTGGTCCAGGCCCCCGGGACCAGAACCTACCCCAAATTCTGGAGGAATCCAGGTCTGAATGAATCAGGAGAAGGGCTTCAGGGACCAAGTCCAACTCTTCTGAGTTCCCCAATTCCTGCCTCTCCTCCATCCTATCAGGGACATTTGGCTCCTCTTAGCTGGCTCTGCTCATCCAGAAGATTCCCCTCCTGCCAAGTTTGGTGGACAGAGCTACAGATGGGACCAAAGGGAGTGGCCGAGCCTCACTGCCTAAACCAATGCCCTGCTCATCCATTTCCCCAGGCTCCTGGCTGTCTGCCCCAAAGGAGAAGCCTCGTGGGCTAAGACAGACCTTCCTGCTATCTCTGCCCTATCTGCTGCTGGGGATTAACAACAGAGTGTAGGGGAGATGAACTGCCCCTCCTCCCACGCATATCATCAATAGGGACAGATGTGTGGGATGGCAGGTCTGCACAGGGCATGGGGGGAGGAGGCTGCTAAAACAATCCCCCAGCCTCCCACCTGCCCCACTGACTGACCCTCTTCCATCTGCTTTGTCTCAGCTGGGGGTGAGGGAGGGCTTCACTGCTGTCTCCCATCCCCCTTTTTGTTTTTACACAGAGACCAAGAGGCCTCAGTTTAGCACCTTAGTACCCCCACTGCTTCACTTGCTTTAGCCAAAGCCATAAAAACTCTGCAAGTAGAAAAAATAGTGCCAACACCCTGCTAACCAGTCCTCTGCGCCTCCACCCTTTTCCAAGATATGCAATAGCTTGGTGCCTGGCCCCCTCTCCAATGCATGAGGAGCCTGCTTTCCTCCGCTCAGAAATGCTGCTTCATTTGCCCAGGAGGTCATATTCTTTATATATATTTTTTGTTGCAAAGTCTCTCTCTAGAGAAATTCTATATATTATTCTAATTTTTTAATTATGTTTATATATAAAAGAAAAACTCAGTCTGCTGTCTTGTCCTGTGCTGTGCCACAGTCTGTAGTGAGCTCCTCCTGTGTCGGATATCTCACGAGTCCTGCCAGCCACTCATGAGCCCGCTCGGCATAGGGCAGAGCCTGCTGTGCCCTTGACTCTGAGCTGGTCCAATAAAGCAAAGTGGCAGAGCTTTGGTCTGTGTGTGGTGGCTAACGTCATCTTCAGGGGATAAGTAGGGGGGAATTTTAAAGGAAATAATCCAAGGGCTTGGGCATTTCTAGCTCTCAGAACATTTGAATAACCTGCCAGAGGCTCCACTGGCCCTCATTTCAGTGGATAGTGGGGATGGGAATGCTGAAGTTTTCTTCTGCCCAACTGGCTCCTGTACTTCCATCTCTGTCCTTCCAGCCCCAAAGCACATAGTACACAACTTGCCCAAATGGACTCTAATACTTTATTAGATAAGAGGTCACAAGCCACAGGACTTTAAAGTGCTTGAAATTCACTGGTGATAAAGCCACACATACACCAGCCACCCCCTCCTCCCAGTCCCCATCACCTCACTCCATCCATCATCATCACACATGGGGGAGGGGTTGAGACCCGTCATTAAAGGTAGGGTACACTGGGACAAAGGATGAGAATGCTGGAGGAACAGGAGTATTAGTGGTCTGGAACTGGGAAGGAGAGGATTGACCAGTGATTATACTTGCTGAAGGAAGGGTAGGTTCAGTCTAACCTCTTGAAAGCTGGAATTTTTTAAAAAACCTATTCCTCATGACCAGCCCCTGGCATTTCAGACACACCTAAACGCCTCCTCCACCTGTCTCTGATTTTCCCCGAGAATTAATGAGTAAGTTTGAGTCCAGAGTCTAGCATGAGGGTATCCCTGACCCACTCAACGAATACAAAGCACAGCAGATACAGATTTCAGAATCATGGTGGGGGGAGAGGCTGCCATCAGGAGCTGGCTGTGCATGTGCTGATGGTGGGACGCACATGTGCCCACTGGTGTGTGTGTGTGTGTGTGTGTGTGTGTGTGTGTGTGTGCATCCATGTGCATGCCATGCCATAGGGGCCCACTTCTTTTGATAGGACAACCACTGAGGTGGGAAGAAGGGAGTGCCAGCATAGACTGGGGAAGGAGAGTTTCTGGTTTCCCAGAAAGAATGGAGAAGCCTACTCCCCATTCCATCACTCCCTAGGCCAGCTGGCACCTGTCCGAGCCCTTTCTACCCAGCACAATGCTCCTGTTCCCTGCCAGCTCAGCACACCTGCCACAGACTCAGGCTGTTCTTGCTGGCTCCAGTCTTGTAAATTCTTCTGTGTCAAGCCAGCTCCTCCTGCCTCCCCCAGGAGAGGAGTTAGAACCAGAAGAAAAATATCCACCACCACCCCCACTTCCTCCTTCAGAAGTGAGATTTGGGTGGGTCCTCCAGAGACCTTGATTCAACCTCTACCCTAATCTACAGACCTTCTAAAAGAAAGTTAAAGTGCTTTGTTCTGCAGGAATCCCAGACAGAATGGCAGCTTGAACTGGATCGGGTGGTTTGCCTACTGCTTCTCCACACTGCAAGCACCTTGTGCCAGTCTGCCCAGCACCATGATGCCACCCTAAACACATGCATCCACCTGCAAACACATACTGCCAACCTACCCTTTTCAAACAGCAGGCACTTCAGACAGGGACTAAATCAAACCAAAAACCTTTCCCTCTGGAGTCCAAACCAGGTCCCTCTATTCTTGGCCCCTTGGACCTAGCCTCTCTGGGGAAGGAAAGGCCTAAGAACAACTACGTGTCCAGCGAAGCAGACACACACCAAAGCTTCATCACCATAAGGCCTGCCTGCAGTCACTGAGTCACACTTTGGAAGGTGCTGGGGTGCTGGCATCTGCTCCCAGGAGTCTAAAAATACCCACTCTTTCTACAGTATAGGGAATGCCTTCTCAAAGCCTCCTGGGCCCCAGCTTTGCAGCTGAACTATGGTCATCTGGCTGGCTTTGTTCATGGGAGGGGCGGCACTTAGCTTTCCCTCCTCCAACCTTGCATCCCTCTTTCAATCTGGACCCCATCAGATGGAAGAGGTAGGCAGGGGACTCACCTCCCTTTGCATTCAGTCTGCACTACTTGCAGACTTGCCTCTAACCCAGAGCACTTGCAGGCGCCAGGGACCAGACTTCACTCAGATATACCTGGCACCCCAATTATATAAGAACCCTTGACTGGGAAAGCTAAAATGACAGTGCCTGTTAGGAACTGCCAAGATTCCTGAGGTCCACAGTCTGGGGTGTGGAGGAGAAATCAAGCATTCTCATCCACCCTGCCTGTGCCCTCTTCCTCTGAGGTCTGCGATGTAGCCTCCCACATCAGAGCTCTTTCCTGTAGACCTGGCCCTGGCTGCCTCTGTCTCTTCTCTCACTGAGATGATCTGTCCTCATGGGCCACAGTTGAGGCCTCACTACAGAAGGAGTGGGGGATGGAGTTTTGGGGTATGGAAGACACATAGTGCAGGAGCTTGAGCAGCAGTGGTGTGTGCATGAAGCAAAGACAGTGCTGCTACCACAATGCTGGCGCAGAGCCAGGAGGGCTAGAGGACGTCTGTTTCTCTCTCGATCCCCACGTACTTGAGGGCATCGGCTTGGCTGTACCTGTTGCAGAGTAGGGAGGAGGAACCAGGTTACTCTCAAGACTTCTGTGATTGAAAACATGAGGTCCCCTCCTGTTTCACACCCCCTCCCACCCTAACAGCCATTTTTAATGTCTTGCTTCTGGGATCAACACTGACCACTAGGAGACCCTCTCCACCCACCATACCCACCGTAAGCCCCAAGCCACCCCTTCTGCCTCCAGAAGATCATTCCTGACCTATAGTCAAAGAAGAGCTCTTCGCCAGCCTGAATTGCCCTCTTGGCAAAGATCCCAATGCGATGATCTCCATTCACCATGACCACTGCAAACAGTAAAAACCTAAGGCTAGCTTCCCAGTCACTGCACGTCCGCATTCAAGAGGATTCTGGGCTGGGTTTCTCCAAATGGAATCGAATAGAATTAGAAACTAATCAATGAAGGCACTTATCTTTGTGCTTCTGGATCTGTCATAGTGGTTACAGGAAAACAATCACCTTAAGATGATTTAGAAAGGGACTTTAATGTAGTCAGTCAAAAAAAGTAGGTTATGAGAGACAGTGAGAGAAGAGAAAAGAGAGGAGAGAAAGGATCTAACATGATGCCAGATACTAATCATGATTAACTTTGGACAAAAAATAGTTCGACTCTGAAAGAAGTTGAATAGTGGATAGAAATCATAGCAAATGAGGCATCTACCCCCACTCCACTCCTAGGTTACTGAGAACTCACCTTTGGCATAACAGTTGGGGTTCACTGAATGGTTTGCAAATCGAATTTTGTTTCCTTTCCGGGTAGCATCTACTACAAAGTCTGTATGACATAAATGAAGACCATGAATGTACTAGGCAACTCCACACTTCTTTAGCCTGAGTTTAAAATCAGTTAAATTGTGACAGAAACAATTTAGTCCAATGGAACTGTGAAGTCCAATGTGCTAAGCATGCAGCCTGAGCATTCTACACTGAGTGGGAGCACTCCCTTACGTTTCACCTCTTTGTTTCAATTGCAGATCTCCTCCTCTTATGTACTGAGCAGGGAGGTTTCTGAAACAGAAGTGCTTAGTGCCCCTAGTCCAAACACAACCCAGACATAGAGGCACTTACAAAGAGCCCATGGGGTCTCTGAGTTTGATCTCAACACCTTGCTCTGTGCATGTGATCTGAAGCTGAACTAAATAGCAAAGGTGATTTGGTAGAAAGATCAGCATGAGACCACTTTGGGACAAGAGAAAGATGCCATTGCCATACCATTGTTGAGGTTGAAGAGGAAGCTGGACATGTATTTGTCATAGACCTTCCCTCGCCGATCAGCTTCATCCTGAGAGATGAGCTGGAGACACAGACAAGGAACAACCGGGGGTGTCTGGCTACCTGCTTGGGGCATGGCACCTTGCCTCCAGAAAGGGCTGGGAAGAGGCAGTATTACATATAGGTGCTCACTGAACATGATGATGAGAACTATAGGAGAGACAGCCCAGTCTATATTGTTTCCATTTCCACCCAGGCCAAGTACTAAGGCTGAAGAGAGACCCCTCCCCCACAACCACCTTGTGTGCTCTGAGTTGCCAAAGAGTTGAAGAACAGTGGTTTGTTTCAGGACTGCAAACAGTTCTGTGGGGTCCCCTGAGAGGCCACATGAGAGCTCAGCTGAGTTATTTAGAGATTAAATTACAGAAGCCTAACCCACAGAAAATCAAGTTTCTCATAAGCATCTCCCCTAAGAACATGGGCCAGACTCACAGCACTCACCTCACCACAATATTCAGAAATGAATTCGTTCTTCTGCACAGACTCCTTAATGAAGGTGCCCCATCCGGCCACATCGGAGGGAGCCAGCAGCAGGTGCTGGGGAGAGGGAGGCAAGCCTCAGATGACAAGCGGGTGTGGGTGAGGGGCCTGTGAGCATATGCACGTGTGTGGTGGGGGCTGGTGGACATAACTAGCAACTATTAGGAGGATCTGAAAACAGGTCCAAGCTAATCTGCTCTGGTGAGGGAAAATGAGAAGGAGAGGTGATGAAATGAACTAGGACATGTCTTCTTCCCCAGGGACCTCCTGGGTCTGGGTCTATGGGCGCTCACTGTTGTGTGGGAGGTCCAAATGAACAACACTGGGGCTGGGTGGTAGCATGGTGGTAGAGTGCTTCTGTGAGTTCCTGGGTTCAATTCCCAGTACCAAAAAGAAAAAAAAAGGACAACATCAATACATCAATGGCACTCAGTTTGACCAGTTCAAAGGGGCCACTTCTGATCCCTTAGTAGGACAGAAAACTTTATTAATTTGACAACATGTATCTGTTAGGGTTTATCAAGCACTTTCATATATAAGCCCTCTAAGGAGCCAGAGGAAAAAAGATGCCTGAGACTATTTCCTCTCTCCCACTCCATTATCTCAACTTGCACAAAGGCCCCACCTTCTTGAGACCACGCTGGATGCTGCAATTTTTGCAGGAGACCACCTTGCAGTCCCAGTGCTCTGAGGCCCCACAGGTGAGGCACAGGTCAGGGTCACATTCTCGCACTGCCAGATAGCAAGGACACTGCTTGGTATTGCATTGGGTCTTACAGCGACAGCCAGGGAAACGATTCTGACCTGGATGGAGAGACAGGTACGATCAGGAAGCAGACTTAGACTGGGCACAGGTTGTACTCAAGAATAGCAGAGTAGTGATGTGTTCAAGGATGTTTGGCAAAACAGGGCAGAATCTTCCTTCTCAATAATCATGTTCTCAATGTTTTTCCTTTGAAAACAAAGTGCCTCCAACACTCATAGCTGTGAGTTAAAAAAAGTAGGTATGACTATTGAGAAGTGTCTCCTGGAGATTCCTCAACAGTGCCCCCAATCTGTCCTTGTTGGCAGAATTTGGAAAGGAGGTGGAGAGAAACCCAGAAAAAATAAAATCAGGGCTTTTTACTGGTAAATCCTCACCATCAAAACAAGCATCATATTGAGAACAGAATGCATCCGTTCTACACCATCGTCCTCCACCCACGGCCTTCCTCACCACCGGCACCTCTCTGCTGTGGCTAAGATCAGTATCTGTACCTTATTACGAGGTGGCTACAGACAACTGCCTGAGCACCATCTGCAGGCCCTGGGGGCTGCCATTAACTGCTCACCCCCAAATGGGGATGGGCATGGCAAGGATAAAAGGAGAGATAACTGCTTTTAGCCTCTGCTGACATCCAGTCCCTGTCTCCTACCTGTTATTAAAACTCCAGCTAATATGCATATATGGAAATATCATAACGAAACCCCTTACTCTGAACATTAATATATGCTAATAAGAAAAAGTACTAAGAAAAAGAAAAAACAACCCTCCAGCTATTAAACACAGAGTTGTGATCTAAAGAATTATGAATGTATATATTCTGAGGCGGGGTTTCCCTATGTGGCCCAGGCTGGTCTCCAAATCCTGAGTTCAAGTGATCTACACACTTCATTTTCCAGAACGCTGGGATTATAGCTGTGCACTACTGCACCCAGCTAAAAAATTTTTTCAGAATATCCTGATAAAGGAGACTGTGCATGCACCTTGAGGCTTAAGGAAAAAGATTTCTGTTTTTTAGTTTTCCCTGGAAGGGAAAAGATGAAGAAGCATGTTATTTCTGTATAATTGTTGCTTCTAGAAGCTGAACCTAAGGGCTTTTCAAAAATGACTTTCCCAGCTGGGCAAGGTAGCACACACCTGAGTCTCAGCTACCCTGGAGGCTGAATACTTTGGTAGACTATAGGGGAAAGCCTGGTTCTCTTACAGTCTGGGTTGCACTGGCAGAACTTCTCACAGAAATTCTGAGTCATGATGCAGGGGCAGGTGCTGTCACAGGGACGGTCTGGGTGGTCGCAGGGTTGGTAGTTATACACTTGTGTAGAAGAGTTATCTAGAAGAGAGAAGAATCAAGCAGGACACAGTTGTGACCAGGCTCCCTCACTGCCCTCCCCTCCAAATGTTCCAGGGTCCTGAGTCAAAGCAGGTTCATTCTAACTAACTTGGACACCAACATAGCACCTGAAGTCAGAAGACAGTGCAGATGACCGTTGTGCACAAGCTACATGGGCGGTTTGCTTTGTGGGCAGGGTGTAGAGATAGTCCGAGATAAGAGGGCAGCTATTCGAAATAGTAAAAGAGGCCTGGAGCCTGGCACACAGCACACTAAGAAACTTGGGGACCACAAGGCCCTTAACTCTGTCTCCTCAGAGGTCTTCTCAGTTGCAGTGAGCTCAACTCTTCCAGCTTCTGCACAGAAATCTGCAATCTGCGGAAGCGGCCACAGTCAACAAGTGCAGCTATAGGTGGGGCAGGGCAGGGTGACAGCACAGGGTGAGGCCTCAAGCTGAACTGCTATAGCAGGACCTGGCAAAACTTACCTCCCTTTTTCTTTGCCTTTCCTTTCTTTCTTCTTCTTCTTTTCTTTTCTTTTTTTTTTTGGTGGTGCTGGGGATAGAACCCAGGGGTCCATGCTAAGCACATGCTCTGTCACTAAACTACACTTCTCCCCTTGAACTTACCTTTCTTCAGTTGAATTTTCCTGCAGTGTGCAGCCCACAATCTAAAAAAAGGGAAGGGATAGGTCTGGGTCACGGCCTTTGGGAGCTCTGCAGATGTAGGGAAATGACAGGGTGATCTTCTCTAAGGGACTGTTTAATAACTGTGAAGTATCCTTTCAAAATCCCTTAACAGGGGCTGGTGGAATGGCTCAAGTGGTAGAGCACTTGTTATAATAAACATGAGGCCCTGAGTTCAACCCCCAGAATTGCCAAAAAAAAAAAAAAAAAAAATCCTTTAACAGGAGGGCCCTACTTTTGTATACAGAAGTTAGAGCCCATCTTATATCCAGCTGACCTATGCTGCAAGATTTACATTTAACACAACCTCATCCCAAAGAAACATAACAGAATAAAAATCACACAAAACAAAGCCCAAATTTACATATCTATGACTATTGTTTCATCCTAACCTCCCCCTTCTCCCCTCTTTGCTGAGGTGGAGATGTGGGGGAGTTCTAAGATGGCAGGTGGGAAGGCCTTTCAGGAATCTTCTCTGAGTGAACCAACTAATAGGGAGGAGCCACAGGAACTTCCTTCTGTTTCAAGAACTGGCATCAGCTCCTTCCTTTGGTAGGTAACAGCCATTAGGAAACAGAGCAAGGCAGAGTGCTGACTTTTTAAAAAAAAACTTCCAATCTTAAATAAACACTAGCTATAAATCAGTGCTGTGCAACTCAGAAAAACAATACATGTGGACAAAGAAAAGGAATAAACTGGTCAGAGTTGAGAAGTGGGTAATGTGGTAACCACCCAGTGAGAAGAAATGGCCTTAGCATGAAGTTATGAGCCAACTTATGTCCTACTGGCCAGGAGCTTAAATGGAAAACCTGACAGCTGCCTGAGGGTCCACAGCCTGTGGGGGCAGAAGCAGGACTGGACCCTCAGGGAGAACTGAGAACACTGGTGCTCAGCTGTGTGTGCTGAATAATGGGTTCACTCAGTCTTGTGCACTGGCCAAGAGGGAGGCAGGTGCAAGCCCAAGGGGAGGTCAGGGAACAGAGAACTTCCTAGCCATAAGAAGTCCTTTGTCCAACCCTTGCCTGTGCTTTCTTTTCTTCTTCTGTGATGGGTTCATGAGCTCATCTGTTGGCAGCTTCAGGATAAGTGATTCTTTGACTGCAAACTGAAAGACCTGGAAGAGAAATATCCAACAGGGCCTGTCATGCCTTCTGGGGCCAGGTGATTAGTTAAGTGGCCAAGCCAGATACTAGGCTTGTGGGAGTTCTAGAGAGCTTGCAGGCAGCAGATTGGACATCCTTTTAGTCAGAGAGAAACAGTACCACTGGAATGACTCAGGAAGAGAGAAACACTGAGCACAGTAACACCTTCCTTGATCAGCACTTTTCAATTACTGCTCTTTCCACTAAGTCACAAGTGGGCTGCTTCTTACTAACGGACCTGCCTTTTTTAGAAAGGGCAACTGTGTGTGCGCTGTGAAACTGAGTGCTAGGCCTGATGTGAACCCTGCCACTGGCCTAAGCAGTAGCTCCCTCTGTTGGTAGAAAGATGTAAGAGCCTTGACTATTTCAATAGGACAGCATCTCAGGAAAGTTGGTTGTCTTTCATCATGTTTCTTATAGCACTCATCTTTACATTTTTCTTTTCTTTCTTTTTGGCACTACTGGGGTTTGAACTAGGGGCCACACCCCCAGCCCTTTGCTTTATATTCTCTCTCTCTCTCTCTCTCTCGTTGGCTATAGGCACTTTTGAGATTCAGTATAAGTCATAAATCTTATCAGGAAAAAACACAAGTTTTTTATTTTTTGGTGGCACTGGGGTTTGAACTCAGAACTTCACACTTGCTAGGCAGGTAACTTTACCACTTGAGCCACTCTGCTAGCCCATCTTTGTGATGGGCATTTTTGAGATAGTGTCTCGTAAACTTTGCCTGGGGCTAGCTTTGAACTACAATCCTCCTGATCTCTGCTTCCTGAGTAGCTAGGATTACAGGCACCCAAGAAAAATACACTTTTTTTTTTTTGCATACAATTTTATAGACTTTTAGGAGAAGAACCTGTGTTGCAAGGAAATAGGTATGGGTTCCAAAATCAAAGCCCAGGGCACTTCAACTCATAGTTCTCTTAATTGTTCTTTGTAAAGGAGTGTGACATAGGTTCCCAAACATGGATCCTTCTGCAGATGTCAGGCCTAGCAATGCTTGGGGATCTGATCCCAAGAAGAGGTCACAGAGACATCTCCAGAAGTTAGGAAGCTGCAGGAGCAGGGCTGCTGCACTGGGCTTCCCTTCCTATGGGAAAGACTGGCCCAAACCCCCATTTCCTGAACTTGTTCTATACTCTGACTTCTCATTGCAGTCTTTTCTTGCTTCCAGAGCAGCAGTGGCTGCAGTCAAGTTGCATCTCTAGTGGCAGTATGAGCGAGAAAGACTGAGGTTTGGGCCTAGTTACTGGGGATGGCATAGAAAATCTAGTGATATAAAGTCTGGAGAATAATGCATGTGTGGAGGCTCAGGGAGGGGTAACAGTTACACTGGCAGTAAAAAGACCCACAGAGAGCCTAAGAGTCCCTTCTAGAAACAGGGTATATATTTAGAATGGAAGGCAGGATCCACAAAGCAGCTAATGAAGTGTAGGACCATTCTGCATAGTTAAACAGTGGCTAGAGGCAGAAGTTAGTGTTCAGCAGATCTCCAAGCACTGCCAGGACTTGGATTTGCAGATTGGCCCCTGGCTCATGAAAGACTAAACCTAAAACGATTTCTCTCCAAACACACACAATCAGATAAAGTGGCAAAAGGAAGGACAGAGCAATAGATAAAAGGATGCCTCATTCACAAAGTACCTGCTTGCATGTCTTTGTCCCCAGAAGCCTGGCTATTGAACAGAAGTTGTTGAAATAGGTGCCATGGAAGACTCGAAAAAGCGATTCTTCAGCCCCAGTCCACTCAACAGATTCCGAGGGGGCTTCCACAACACACAGCTGAGGTGGGGCTGGACTGGCTTTCTGTTTTGTGGGGGTCTGACAGCGAGAATTAGCCTCTAAGCAAAGAAGAAAGAGAAACATAAGACAATGGAATGCAGTTGTCATTAGTAGCTTGTCACAAACTCAGAAGTCATTCTATTTAATAAACTTCCCCATCTTCTCTACTTATAGGTGAACTGGTAGAAAGAGTTAACAATTATAAAAGGTTGAAATGTTGAGTCACACAGTGATCCTGGTTTTACCAGCATCCTTGAGGAAAGGAAAGGTCTTCATTTTCTTTACATTGTACCTGAAGAACTGGAGGCCCAGTCATTGCCGGTGTCTCTGTCACTGTCCCCTTCTTTAGTCTCAGCCACAGCAGAGGCTGAAGTATTGGAGCAGGAAGCACTGACCACATGGTGCCTTCGCCGGCGACGCCCAGAGCACTTGGAGCGGGGATTATGGAGTTTGGCATACTCCTTTGCCCCTTCCTGTAGTGGGCACATTACAATAGTAAATAGGAACAGGCCCAGAGTCACCATCTTGATCTTTATCAACATCTATGCTTAAATGCAAAGATACTGAAAAAAAAGAAAACTGTTCCATGTAAGTGTGACCATGTTGCAATGAGAGCTGCTGCTTAACATTCTAAAACTTAAAAACTTATACCTTTCACAAAAGACTTGTCCTATAATCTTAAAAAAAAGATATTATCTATCCATCTTGAATCTTCCAGGGAGGTGTACCTGAAATGCATTCATTCACACTTGGAATTTGAGAACATCTTCTGCAGATGAGGAAATGAGGTAGAGGGAGGAGAGGTCTGTTTGAGAGAATATAACTCAGTGTTCCATTGTGGGCATAAGAATCAGGGCTCTTTCCTTAGGCTACTGCTCTTCACATTCTACCACACTGCCTCTGCTTCAATAATAACTGTGTAATTCTTGAATGGGTTAACTATTATTACTAAATTTTGAAACTTCCTCCTGAGTCTATAACGAAACTCAGAAAAATACTATTTCTGGGGTTGGTGGAGTGGCTCAACTGGTAGAGCACCTGTCTAGCAAGTAAGAGGCCCTGAGTTCAAACCCCAGTATGGCCAAAAAATTTACTGAAGTATCAGAAGAATATTATTTCATTTCTTTATAGAAATACTATTTTATTTCTATGCTTTAAAAAAAAAAAAAACAAATGACTATGACTTGGCTTGATCATTGATACCTTTTCACCAGGCTTGGTTCAAAAAGACTTTTTGCTGTTTCTAAAAACTAACTGTGCTTTCTTTTTAATTTTCTTGTTTTTTTGAGACAGGGTCTCATTATGTAGTCCAGGCTGCCCTTGAACTTGCCATCCTCCTGCCTTTGCCCCCAAATGCTGGGATTATGGGCATGTATCACCACGCCTGAAGATAAAGTATTCTTAAATCAAAATGTTTAACATAAATAATATCGAGCCTCCAGAGCTAATTTCTAGTTTATAACAGTAGGTGATAAAGGAACAACTTAAGTGGCACACTGAAAACCAGACACATTTAGAATGTGGGTTATCGTATAAGACAAATGGCCTGGGACTTTCAAAAAGAAGAAACAAGCAGTGTAATTATTTGAGATTTAAAAAAGAAAAAAAAAAGCAACATGTACTAAATGTGATGATCACAAAACCCAAACTGCAGGGCTGGGGATGTGGCTTAGTGGTAGAGCATATGGTTAGCATGTGTGAGATCTTGGGTTCAATTCTCAGCACCAACCTAATTCCCCAAAATATAGATAAAATAATATGGAAAAATATTTAAAAGCCAGGGAGAAGGTATCATTCAACTTTGTTTTTGTTGTTTTTTTATAGTAGTGGGGTTAGATCTCAGGGTCTCATGCTTGCTAAGCTAGGGCTCTACTACTTGAGCCACTCCACCAGCACTTGTTCAACGTTTTTTGCATGATTGAATATATTATCGGGCTGGAGACTTGGTTCAAGTGGTAAAGCATTTTCCTTGCAAGCGTGAAGCTTTGAGTTCTAAACCCTGTACCACAAAAAAAAGTTTTTAATAAAAACTTGAGGGAATATTCTTACTTTCTTCAGATTGCATAAACCCTTTGCGTTTTACTAAAGATTTCTGTGGAGAGGAGCAACTCTTGAGTTTTTAGCTGATTTTATTTTGGCAGGGCTAGACATCTTGTTATGATTAAAGATATTGTCCTTAAGGAAAACCAAAAGTTGAGGGAAATATTCCAGCATTATATTTGAATATATACATAGCTAAAAAGCAATAAAAGAAAAGATGTGCAAAGTAAGTTCACTTTTGGAGGTATCTCATTAAGTGAACATACTCTGGGCACTGACGCAGCTTCCTGATGCAAATGCAGGGTTCCAGAGGATGACTGTGAGAGGACAATAGCCTTTTGAGTTATGTAAATGCTGGAATGTTGATGTAGCACGCTGTTAAAAAAAAAAAAGAGCATGGAATAATTAAAGCATGGGCTGTGGAGTTAGACCAGGCCTTGAATCTCATCATTGTTACACCACTGATTTATTAATAAACTCTGGGCAAAATATGCAACTTCTATAAGCCATAACTTCTTCCACCTCGGAGTCTTGTTAAGTGTATGTTAAGGACCTAGTATGGTACTTGAACATAGGAAGGAGTAAATACATGTTAGGGAAGAAAATTAACTGAATAAAATTCACTTATTTTTTATTTATTTATTTTGGTGGTTTTAGGGGTTGAACTTAGAGCCTGGTGCTTGCTAAGCGGGTATTCTACCACTTGAGCCATGCCCCCAGCTCTTTCTGTGATGGTTATTTTTGCCTGGGCTGGTCTGGACCATGTGGTGGAATGACAGGTCCATACCACGGCACCCAGGGTGGTCTCATCAACTTTTTGCTCGAGCTGGTCCTGAATCATGATGCTCTCGATCTTCACCTCCCAAGTAGCTAGGATTACAGACTTTGCCACCACGCCCCTCCTTATTAAGTTTTTTTTTGCAGTGCTGAAGTTTGAACTTGGGGCCTTACACCTGCTAGGCAGGCAGTCTACCATCTGAGCCACTTACCAGCTCCTATTGTTTTTTGCTACCACATGGCTCATTTAGCCATATGTACCAAACAGCACTCTCTACCATTTTTCCTGCTGTTATCTCTAAAGACGTTCCCAAAGGCACTTGGCTATATAATCTAATTTTAATTGATATCAAAAATTTTATTAAGGTATTTTATTGTGTTGTGAACTCAGGGTTCTGTGTTTACTAGGCAGGTGCTCTACCACTTAAGCCATACCTCCAGCTCTTTTTTGCTCTGGTTATTTTTGAGATAGGATCTCATTTTTGTTCAGGCCAGCCTGAACTATTTTTATGCTTCCCACTGTGGCTTTTTTCCAACATTCAGCTTTTTTCCATTGAGGTGGGGACTCATGAACTTTTTGAGTCACTGGTGCCCAGCAAGATATTTTATTCTTTACCTAAACTCAACCTGTTTTGTAGAAAGCTGAAGAGTATCCTTGGCACTTACTTTTACTTCTCCTCTTTTGCCCTTTGCAAGGTTACTTTCCCTCCCTTTATCCAGTATTCTAAATTCTAAAGAGAAGTCATCACCAAAAAAAAAAAAAATATATATATATATTGGGCACTGGTGGCTTGTGCCTATAATTCTAGCTACTCAGGAGGCAGAGATCAGCAGGATTGTGGTTCGAAACCAGTAGGCAAATAGTTCGAGACCCTATCTCAAAAAAAAAAAAAAAGAAATACAAAAAGGAGGTGGTAGAGTATCTCAGGTGGTAGAGCACGTACCTAGCAAGCATGATGCCCTGACTTCAAACCCCAAACCAAACCCCAGAACCACCAAAAACCAAAAATGTCTAGTGGAAGATAAGCAGGAGCCAGTATATACCCTGATGTTATCATCTGAAGGAAGGATACCAGCTGTTCTAGATTCTGTAAATCTAAAGAAAGATTATTTAGCCATTAACATTGTTAGGTGTGACTTCTCTTTAGTTTTTAGTTTTTTGGTTTTTTTTGGGGGGAGTGTGATATTGGGGTTTGAACTCAGGGCTTTGAACTCTACCACTTGTGCCAAGCCTCCAGCTCTTCTGTTTATTCTTTAGTTCTGTGCATCTCTAACACAAAGCATATAAATTACTGTGAAGTTTAACTTGCAGAAGAGTAATATCCCTATTTATCGAATTCTAGGAACTATCCCCAAGAGGCCAAGGTTCATTGCAATGTACCAGTCAGAGAAAAAAAGAAGACAATGCCCTGGATGATGAAGAACCTATACAGCATGTATCCTTCCTGCCCACTGTCCTTTCCCCCCAAATAAAAGCCTGGCTGGGGAGGTAGCTCAAGGGGTAAGAGCACCTGCCTAGCAAGCGTGAAGCCCCGAGTTCAAACCCCAGTGCTGCCAAAAAAACCCAAAACAGTTCTTGGTGCCCCTGAGTTCCCTGAGCTGGATCTGAGTCAGTAGTCACCCTCCCCATCTTCTCAGGATTCTGGCCCTTGAGTAAAACTGATTTCCTTTCTATTAACTCTTGTCTCCCAGCCAGAAAAACGCCCAATAACACATCTGGCAAGTCAGCCAGGATCTGTGCCCTCTTGATATCTATGGGAGGAGCAATGATCACTTGTGAAGAGCCAATTGCTTGTGTCAAGTTGACCCAGCACTTGAGATTGCAGGGACTTCCCAGCAGCTGCTCAGTCTTTTCTTCTTAGGAATTCTCCTTTCTCTCCTCCTCATGACATCGACTGCCTATAAACACTCTTTGCAGAAGGAAATGGCTACTGAAGGGTTTTTTTTTTTCCCCCAACACTAGGATTTGAACTCAGAGCCTTGACCTTGCTAGGCACTTGAGCCACACCCCCAGCCCTTGATTATAAGTTTTTTAAGGAGTAGAAGGACTTCAGTTTGAGTACATTGCACCATGGTGCACACTGGGAATCTCTATCCTTACTGTGTGGGGCTTAAATAGTCATTTGGACCTCACTCAGGCTGTTTGTGGTGCTACAATCACAGACACAAGACTCTGAGACTAGTATTCCCAGCTTCTCCTTCAGGGGAAATTTGGGGTTTTTTGGTTTTTTCTTTTAAGAGTACTCTGTTTATTTGATTTGGCTTTCTTCTTTCCTTTTTTTTTTTTTTTCCAGTACTGGAGTTTGAGCTCAGGACTTTGCTTTGCTAGTCAGGTACTCTACTGCTTGAGGCATACCTCCAGTCTGGGTGGGTGTTTATTATCTATCTATCTATTTTTGATGGGACTGGAGTTTGAATTCAGGGCTTCATGCTTGCAAAGCAGGTGCTCTATCACTTGAGCCATACCTCCAGTCCATTTTGCTCTGGTTAATTTGGAGATGGGGGGGGTCTCTTGAACTGTTTGCCTGGATTGACCTCAAACCTCAATCCTCACAATCTCAGCCTAGCAAGTAATTAGGATTATAGGTGTGAGCCACCAGTGCCCACACCAGGGGGGATGTTTAAGTAATTGTTAATATATCCTGTTGCTTGTACATTAATACCCAGTCCAAAATAGAAATGAGCATTGATAAAATTAGGTAACAGGCTACCTGGCTCCAACAGATTGTGGAGCATTTCACCACTTTTTTTCCCCAAGGATTCAGACTGGTTTCAAATTTTTTATATTGGATGCCATCTGGGATCAGATCTATTTTTGAAGGAATTTTAAAATTAAGGCTAACATTCCTAATAATAATGGGAGCCTACAGGGTTTATAAGCATTGTATTATGTATACACAAGCTATGCCAACCACTGCCTTTGACCACTGTTCCCTAAGAAAAAAGCCTTCTATTCCAAAATCCCTCTTCTTTGCCTATGTTTAGCAGGAAGGAGCCAGAATGGAATCACCCTGTTTTCCATAGCAATGGAATTAAGGGTTGACAGTGAGGAACTGTAACAATGCCCCTCAGCCCCAAGAGATGTCTTGGCAGTTACATTTACTTCCCCTCATTTTTCCCAGTATTCTAAATTCTAAAGAGAAGTACACCTAAAGAATTAAGTTGTTAACAGCTAAATAATCTTTCTGTAGATTTACAGAACCCAGAACAGCTGGTGACCTTCTTTCAGATAATAACATCAGAATGTGTAGGGGTTCCTATTTATTCTTTAATTCTGTGTATCTCTAATACAAAGCATGTAAATTACCGTGAGGTTTAACGTGCAGAAAAGTGATATGTCTATCTACTGAATTCTAGGAACTAGCTCCAGAAGGTCAAGGTTTGTGGAGATGTGCCAGTCAAAAAAAAAAAAAAGAGAAAACACATGCCCTGGATAACAAAGATCCTACATAGTATGTAGCCTTCCTGCCCACTTGTTCCCTGTTCCTTTTCCTCCCTACAAAAGCCCTTGGTGCCCCTGAGTTTCTTGGGATGGGTCTCTGAGAAAATAGCCCCCCTTCCTTCTCTTAGGTGCCAGCTGTTGAATAAAACTGATTTTCTTACCCCAACACTTACCTCCTAAGTTCAACTTTTGAGTGGCGAGAAGCCAGACCTGGGTCTGGTAACACAACTGACCTATTCCCTTCTAGCTCTGAAGATATAGCCTCCCACCAGATATGCAGGACAATTTATGCAGCTACATAAAGTTTGCCCATTAGGGAGGATTCATCTAGTTGATTATAATAAGACATTTCTGCCTCGGTGTGATCCTTTTCTTAATGACTGTCTTCATTTAAAGGAAGACAGCAGGGATGGTGGAGTGGCTCAAGTGGTAAGAGCACTTGCCTAGCAAGTATGAGGCCCTGAGCTCAAACCCCAGTGCTTAAAAAAAAGGAAGACAGCAAAGAAAATGGAGTGCATACTGCCACATGGCTACTCTCTGCTCCAACTCCTTTTTTTTTTTGGTGCTGGGGATAAACCCATGGCAAGCACTGTACCACTGGCCCTTATACCTCCAGCCCTTTTGTCACAAATCTAACAACACAGTTTTAGATTCTGAAATCTAAGTAGATGATATTTACAGTAGAAAATCCTTTAATGTTCTCCAAATCTTACTCTATCAGACTAACTTCACAGTCCTACTATCTCTGGGGCATTCCTTAGGAGCAGAAGCCATGTTTTCTTTGGGCATTATGACCCCTAGTGCTGTGTACTCACTCACTTGGCTTGTGTTCCCAGGGGCAGAAAGCCCAAGGAACATTTCCTGCTCAATTTTAAACAGAATTAACAATGCCAGAACAGCTTAAGAACCTACCAGCAAAAGGAAGCAGTCTGTGCCACATGGTTCTGGTTCAATCTTGATTTCTTTGTTCTTGCGTTTATATACATTAGGGGTGGCATGAAAAGCTGGAAAACAAAAATTGAAGTGTTTCCAATGGCAAGATAAAGAGGAACAAAACTGAGTTAGGGAGCTATTATAGGAGCTAGAATTTGATATAAACAGTAACCATCAAGGTATACTAATACCAAGACAATCCTCTCAAAGCTAGGAGGTGTCAGAGGGACAATTAGGTTGCTAATAAGTTTGTCTCCATCAGGCAAAACTTTATAACTAAACAAATGAAAAAAGAACTGGCCCTTCGTGAAACCCTCTTGAGAGGAGAGGCTGGGTACTCCATACAATAGATTGGGATGGAGGTGGGGGTGGAAAAGAGGACAGCATGTCAAACAGAGAAGCCCCACTCACGGTGAAGGAAGCAGTCGTATTTAAAGCAGCGCCGGCAAAAAAGTGTGTGGAAGGAGTGCAGAGATTGCTCCCGCTGCACAGACTTGGCATTGGGGCCATCGATGTTGGGTGTGCACTGAGGGGGAAGTGCATTGGGGTCTGACATCTCTGTTAGCTCTCGATACCTAGTTAAGAAAAGAGAAGAGTTCTTCCAAGGGAGTGTCTCCACTGAGAAAATGGGGACTGGGTATTGATAGTCCTGGGCTGCCAAGGGAGGATAGGTATTTTTATGGGTCTGGTAGAGGAGGGAATGGTTTCTAAGTGGGTACACTATTGAAATTATGTGGGGCTGTGCATATGTCTGAAAGTAAGGGAGGGAAGATGTGATATATCTGATGCTGAAGTCATTCCCCAGAAGAATGGCAGAGTAAGTTTTCTGCCCACACTTCTTCAAAAGCCAGCACATGATGACCCTTAATATGTCAAGAGGAATTTGAGGTAAGAAAGCAACAATCAGAAGTGCAGGCAAATCATAATGAACTTACCATTAACTTTCATTAATCCCCACCCCAAAATAGGCCTTGAATAAGTGTTGCTCAAATACTCCGTATAAGACCCCCGAGGGACAGCTTTCCCTACCTCTCCTTCATGTCATCTGGGACACCATTCTCAGGGAACATGGAGGCAATTGCACTGAAGATCATGTCATTTGGGAATTGTTTCTTGGAACTCTTTTTGTTGCCTGAATTGGAAATGACAAACTTCTGAATACTATTATCAGAGTGTGCAAACAAAGCTATTTGGCCTCTTTCCTTTCTCATAGCATTTGGACTAGAGCTACATTTTTAACCTAAACACTGAAATAAGTTGGTAACAAAATCCACAGTCCCTTTTAGAATCTGGAGGTGAAAAGTCTTCATAAAGAGCTGAATATAGACAAATCCTATCATAGTGTTTACACTATATAACAAGACTGATAATACAGCTATTTTATAGTAAAAGAGAGACACTCTGTCCATGGATATATAATATAATTAAATAGCACAGTATAATCAAGAAATTAAATATTAGTTAAATATTAACAATATGGAAAAATGCTCATAAGGTTAAATGAGAAAAAATTGTATACACACATAGCACAATCCCAATTTCACATAACAAGTAAACATGATGATTTATGTATGTCCATTTTTTAAGTCTAGAAGGAAATAGTCATCTGGTTATTATTCCTGTGTAGCAAGATTATATGGTAATTTTATTTTCTTCTTTATAACTTTCCAGGTTTTTCAAACACATTACTTGCATAATTAGAAAGGAACAAGGAATATTCTGTACATTCTACTTTTTTCTTCAGCTGGGTCACAGCCAAGTTAAGCTATCACTTAATGAACTTGTTTTCCTTTTAAGTAGACCAATGAAAAGTACCAACAGCCTTTAATAAGATTTTCTCTTCTTTCCTAACCCTATCACTTTGAAAATGGAATATGGAAGCAGTGGTATGCACCTTCAATAGTATGTCGCTTTCTCTTTCTTGTTACTGGCAGATCTTCTTTGCTGTCATCCTGCTTTCCATCTGAAGTATCATTGTGCCCTTCTTCTCCTCATCTGAGTATTGATTCAGAGCATCTACCAATTCCAGGAAAACAGCATCACTAATCAGGACAGATCCTGGGATCATTTCTGAAACATGAAGATAGAAGGATGAGCTTTACTTCACACTCTGTCCTCCTAGGCAGGCTTTCTTATATTCAGTCCCAAAGCCCAGAGAGGTAACATATGAACATTTTCATATGGACAGTCAGGGAATTACAATCATTTGATCAGCTCTTACAACTGCAATCGTTCAGCAGACTAGTAGAAAACCCAGTCAGACTTTATTCTTACTGGGATACTTCATTTCTTCAATCACAGGTCAATTCTGTATTTATGGTTAAAAATCTTGAAAAAGTGTGTCAATAATCATAAGCATGGCAGAGAGAGAATAATAAAGTGAAAATTCACTTGGTTTTGCTGTGGATGAATCCATAGTGACTTCTCTAAATCAAAAGACAGCACTTTTCCTTTATGGGGTTTTACTATTATAATGTGAGAGAACACCTTTGAACACTAGGGGTACTGTAAGTGATGCATTTGAGCAGTGTCAACAGCACCCACAATTGGCAAAAGAGCAGGGAGAGCTATGGGTTTGCAAATCCATGGGGAGTTTCTCTTCTTCTTCCTACTCTTATTTACTGACACCCTTTTTTTGAATTACAACTAAGTTCAATTGATTTGTTTTTCTATGAAATAAGGATATTTAAGCCAACTTCTGGGAGATCCAGAAGATACTTTGGATCAAAGTTAATATGGCAGAGAGGTTATGTTCATTGCTATTCTCAGAGAAAGGGAAATGAAGAACAGAACAGGCCTGGATGGACTTATGGAAAACCTCTAAGAGTAAACTTATTTGTGGATTGGCTGTGTGGCTCAAGCTGTAGAGTGCCTATTTTCCAAGTGCGAAGGCTGAATTTAAATCCCAGATCCACCCAAAAGGAAAAATTTATAAACTTATTTGTACAACCAACTTTCTCTCCAGCTACTGATTACTAATAATCCTTTTGTGTCCCGACTCCTTTTAAAGTTTAACCAAAATATATACATGTATGTTGTTGGAACTGGAGTTTGAACTTGGAGCTTTGTGCTTACAAAGTACACACTCTATTGCTTGAGCCAGACATCTAGTCCATTTTGCTCTGGTTTTTTTTTGGAAATGGGGTCTTGTGGACTATTTGCTCAGGCTGGCCTTGAACCACAATCCTCCTAACCTCAGCCTCCCAAGTAAGTAGCTAGGATTACAGGCAGGAGGCACTGGCACCCAGTTTTAATTGGGATATTTTTAATATAAAATTTAAACTCCTAGTCATGTGATGACATCAAAAGATTCTGCAGCATGTACCCTCCATGGGGATGATGATACACCAAAGAAGAGGAACTATTCTAACAGTTTTCTCTCAAAGAGTCTGGCACCACTACCTTCTTCACCATGGACTTTTCCATCATAGTTATTGATCAACTCCTCAATGAAAGTTTCATCTTCTTCTTTCACTTCATCTCCCATGTAGGGAATATTGCACAAAACCGTCTCATCTTCTACCTGAAATTAAACCAGAGTGATTCATTCCATGAGCCATTATACGTTTCTTCTTTCCTACTGATGAAACCTTTGCTGCACTTTTTTCTCTTTGGTTGTTTTTTGTTTGTTTGTTTTGTTTTGTTTGCTTCTGGGTCTCCTGCAAATTTCTTTGGTCACAGAGTTTCCCACATTTTAAAAACTGGCCATTTTGTTTTGTCAAATGAAGGGGTAATGTGACTCGTAAGGGGAAAAGAAGTCAGCTTAGTTGATACTAGCTACCAAATGCTTAGCTTGATTTGAACAACAAGGCTTCCACCAGCACCTGGAATTTTTTTTTTTTTTTTTTGTGGCATTGGGGTTTGAACTCAGGGCTTTACAATCATTAGGCTGGCACTCTTATTGCTTGAGCCACTCTATCAGTTCAAGCACCTAGAATTTGATAGCACATTCATTTTTTACAACATTTTCACCCATTATCTCATTTTACCCACAAAATATATTTGTGAAATAGGTACAAGTACCACATAAACGACAGTCAAAAGTCAAAAGTTCTGCCGGGCACCAGTGGCTCATGCCTGTAGTTCTAGCTACTTGGGAGGCAGACATCAGGAAGATTGCTGTTCAAAGCCAACCCCAGGCAAATACTTTGTGAGACTGTATCTTGAAAAAAAAAAAAAAATCACAAAAAAGTGCTGGTGGAGTGGCTCAAGGTGAAGGCCCTGGGTTCAAACCCTAGTACTGCAAAAAACAAAACAAAACAAAAAAGTCAAAAGTTCTAATTGCTTTCAGAAGATAGATAAATGAATAGGAAGGCCTCCCAGGGTATGATTTGCCATAGAACTAGAAAAGAAACTGAGCAATGGTAAAATTGAGGGAGAGGATAATCTAGAAAACAGACTGGTTCCCCACTAATAAAAAAATTATGGGTACAACTCATACCAATCAGACTCAATGGAAACTTAAAGTCAACTGCAATATAGGCTATGGATATTTGTGGGTAATAAATAACAGATAGTAAAGGATCGTGGGGGACTGAGCAGAGAACATAGCACAAGCATTCTTTTTTTTCATGATGGGGATTGAATCCAGGGCCTTACACATGCTAAACACATGCTCTACCACTGAGCTACACCCCCCCAATCCCAAGACAGTCATTCTCAAGTCTCCAGTATCAAGCAAAATTACTCTGAAGTTTTATTCTTAGAGATGACTCACTTCTGTAGACTCATATTCTGTTCTAATCAGCAGTACTCCTATCTGTCACCAGGCAGATGATATGCAAAAATAGTATTTAGAGAAGACTAATTATCAGAAAAATAAGTAGTCCTAGCAGCCAGGCGTGGGTGGCTCACGCCTGTAATCCTAGCTACTCAGGAGGCAGAGATCAGAGGATTGCCATTAAAAGCCAGCCTGGCAAGTAGTTTGAGAGACCCTATCTCAAAAAAACCCTTCATAAAAATAGGGCTGGTGGAGTGGCTCAAGGTGTAGGCCCTGAGTTCAAGCCCCAGTACCAAAAAAAACCCAAAAAACCAATACTGCCAAAAATAAGTAAATATATTCAGTAAGTAAACTACAATAATGTTTTGCTCTGCGTGCCCAAACTTTGCTAAATATTCTGACAATCTCTACCCTAAAAGGAGTGTCAACATATCAACATAAGATAACTGTGTAGATTAAACAACTACCCCAGTGCTTTCAGTACATACCATAAAATTCTGCTGGAGGGGGGACCAGGAATACATGATGGGAACCAATGCAACGGTGTTCAGAGACCTCATTAGCATATGTTGGCTGGTGAACCCCGGGAAAATGCTCTCTATGGTACACTGAAACACAAGCAATGACGTAGAGAGAAAGGCAAGCACACAATCCAAGAAACAATTATAGTTTGCTTCCAAAAAAGATCCCAGTGTTCTTCTAATGCTTATAAATTAATAAGCTGAGGGTTTTGAAACATCAGCTCCTAAAAGGAACCCCTAGATTGTAAACCTGTGGAAAAGCCAGGCCCTGTGGTCCACACCTGAGGGCCACTACAGCTACTACTAGCTACTCAGGAGGCAGAAATCAGAAGGATCACAGTTCAAACTCAGCCCAGGCAAATAATTTGAGAGATCCTGTCTCAAAAATACCCAACACAAAGCTGGCAGAGTGGTTCAAGAGGTAGTGTGTCTGTCTGGCAATTGTGAGCTCCTAAGTTCGAGCTCCAATGCCTCCAAAAGGGAAGTCCCTCTAACCTTATATACTTCTACCCACAACCCAGGGCACTCCTCTCCTAATGTCAAAGTACATTAGAAGCCAAACAAAGCACAAAACAGGGGACTTTGGAGCTTGGACATAGAGCCCAGGAAAGCTGACAGTAAATGTCTTATTTTTCTATAAAAGTCACTATCATACTCATTCATTGAGGAGAACAACAGATGAAAAGTTATTATTATTATTATTATTATTATTATTTTGAGAGAGGGTCTTTCTATGTAGCCCAGGCTGGCCCAGAATTTATGATCCTCCTGCCTCAGCCTCCTGAGTGCTGGGATTACAACTGTGTACTCTTACCCCTGGCTCTGAAAAGATTATTTTAAGCTATAGATTTGCTATCCTAATTATTCAAAGTTGACTATAATAGCTGAATCCATTTCCTCATTATTTATTTATTTTCCAAGAGCTCACAAATACATAAAAAACTTCATTGCCAAGGGAGAAAGGAAGGCGGGCTTAGACCCAGAAGTACCTTTTTGAGAAAAGGATACCCACTCACAGGCTTCATTGACTGAACAGGCTGAACACGAAGTTTCTTCCATTCTTCATTAAGGATCTGGGTTTTTTCTTGGACCTTTGCAAAATTTGCCACATACAGGGCCTAGTAAAGCCAAGGAAAAAACTATTAAGATTTCAAGACAAGCCAGGCACCAGTGGCTCATGCCTGAAATCCTAGCTACTCAAGAGGCAGAGATCAGGAGGGTCACAGTTCTAAGTCAGCTTGGGCAAATAGTTTGCCAGACCCTATCTCAAAAAGGGCTGGCAGAGTGGCTCAACATGAAGGCCCTAAGTTCAAACACCAGTATCACCAAAAAAAAAAAAAAAAAAAAAAAATCAAGATGAGTTTAAAAAAAGTTCCAACCCTTCCACGTATCACCTTTCTCTTGAGAACTGTTTTTACCTTTGCACCCATATTTGCCTGAAGCCGTTTAAGTTGTCGAAGTCGCATGTATTCAGATTTCACTTTTCTTTTCCAGTAAGTGATGCATTTGGAGGTTGGGGGATTTGGTATATCCATTTTGCTGTACTCTAAGAGACACAGAGAAGAGAAATAGCATTTTATTACCTGGAAATGAAGCATTCTTCAAATGATCAATTATGTTTTTATTTTCATTAAATTTACTCATAAAACACACATTTATAGAACCCAAACACCTGAGTTTAATAAAAAGTTTCAATTTAAAGAGCCAGGACTTCCAGTGTGATTATCAAAAGACTTAGTCTCTACCCTCAAGTGAGGGAAAGGCAGAGTATGGCTCACTGACAGAAATCCTGTTTAGAATGTGCAAGGTTCTGAGTTTGATCCCCAGTATTGCAAAAGAAAAAAAAAAAAACAAGTTACTGGGTATAGTGGTGTGTGCCTGTAATCCCAGCATGTGGGAAGCAGAGGCAGGAAGATCTTGAGTTCAAGGCTAACCTGGGTTATGTAGCAAGACCCTGTCTCAAAAAAAAACCAAGAACTGGGGATGTAGCTCAGGGGTAGAGTGCTTGTGTAGTATGCACAAAGCCCTGGGTTCAATTCCCAGGACCAGACAAACACAAACACACAGAAGGTTCTCTCACAAACATTACGAACTTGATTTCTTAGATATATGGCAGGCTACTCACTACTTTAACAGAACGTTCAGATAGAATCAAGCTCATACCCAAGGACTTCATGGAAAGGGCTGCCCACAGTACAAGAATGTCCAGACCAAATTACCTAAACCTACTACATGCCTAGTAATTAAAAAACGCAATATGACAACTGTATAATCTCATCACCAAATCAACAGCAAGACATGAAAACTAACAACGCCGCAAATCACTTTCATTTTGGTATCTGACCTAGCATTCAAAAATTTAAGGAATTTACCATAAGGTACTTTACCTATAGCACAGAGTGCAAGGGGGAAGTACAAGAGGCTCTAAGGTGCTTCTGTCCTTCAGAGGAACGGCAGGATGCGCAGGTAGAACAAGCGTTCAGCTTTGCAAAGAGAACAGACGGTGGCTCTAAGAAATCGGTGCAGCCCTGAGCAGGCTGCTCCCCCAGAACTAGGAAGCCTTTAAGGTCTCTGCTACCACTACTTTTGCACATAAGTCAGGTGTCAAAAATATTTGGTGATTTTTAGTAAATTCTATCCTTGCATCGATGTGCCCAAATGTATTCTTGCAGGGCTGGAGGAGTGGCTCAAGTGATAGAATGCCTGCCTAGCAAGCCCAAGGCCCTGTGTTCAAAACCCCAATACTGCCTAAATAAATATATAAGTGTATTCTCACAGTCACCATGTTTGTAAATGCTATTTTCACCAATTTCTAGGCTTAGCCAGCAGGTCCAACAAACATTAAATACATGACAATTCAATGAAATTCACAGTGTGATGTTTTCACTCTATATTAATTAGTTAGGTTTGTTAGAGAACTAGCTCTATTCATTTCACCAAGCATTTTAAGCTCCAAAAAACATTACAAGGAGTTATGAGAAGTCAAAAATTGAAACAGAAACTAGAATTTCAGACTGTGTTTTTAAAAAAATTCCTAAAAACTGGGGACTGGTGGAGTGGCTCAGAGGTAGATGCCTATCTAGCTCTGAGTTCAAACTCTAGTGTCACCAAAAAAAAAAAAATTTCTAAAAACCTTTTTTCTTTCAGAGTAGAATATTATATTTCCTCTTAAGAACAGTTTTAAAATTACTTATTTGGGCCTATAAGAAATGAATAATACAGACAAGAAAAAAGCAAAATTTAATCTACCACCACACATATGCCACAATCAGATCTTGAATATAGTATCTCACGCACATGGATTTTAAGAGGACTATACACGAATGTTTCATCTGAAGAAACAAATTGCCAGGATCTGGTGGTTCACGCAGTAATCCTGGCTACTCAGAAGGCAGAAATCAGGAGGCTCATGATTCAATGCCAGCCTGGGTTAATAGTTCACGAGACCCTATCTCAAAAAAAATCATCACAAAAAAGGGCTGGCAGAGTGGCTCAAGGTGTAGGCCCTGAGTTCAAGCCCCAATACCATAAAAAAGAAGAAGTAAAAAAGAACCAAATAGAGCATCTAACGTGATGTTAAATTTAGGGAAGAGTGAAAATTGACAACACTGCAAATCAGTGACTGCTTTTGTTTTGTTGGTTAGTTGGTTCTTTTGAGATAAGGGTCTCCTCAAATTTGTAATCTTCCTGCCTCCACTTCCCAAGTGCTGGGATTTCAGGCATGAGTCACCACATCCAGCTTTGTTTGTCTTTTGAGATGGGGTCAAAAAGGGAGGAGGACTAGCAAAGATGCAGAGAGATTCTCCGTGTTTACTGTTAACCCAAATCAAGTGATCAACCCTTAAAAAGAGAATTTCCCGCAAGTGGTAGAGAGCCTGCATAACACATGAAGCTCTGAGTTTAAAGCCCAGTCTCACCAAAAAAAACCCCAAAAAGAACATATACCATAATCGCATGCACTATTAGTGATTGCTCTTATAATTTCTATCCTGCACAAACTCAATCATAGTCCAAGAAATGAAAAAATGTTTCAGTCAAGGACAAAAATAGCTTTCCCATAAGGCTTAGGCTACCCTCACTGAAACCTAAATATTATAAAATTACAGCTCAATGAGACATCACAACTTCCCTTAAAAGAATGTTTTTTTTGCCTGTGCACTGGTGTCTCATGCCTGTAATCCTAACTACTCAGAAAGCAGAGAACAGGAGGATCAAGGTTCAAAGCCAGCCCCAGGCAAATAGTTTACTACAAGACCCTATCTTGAAAAAACCCAATACAAAACAGGGCTGGTGGAGTGGCTCAAGTGGTAGAGCACTTGCCTTGTAAGTACAAGTTCAAATCCCAGTAACACCAAAAAAAAAAAAAAAAAAAAGCCCAAAAAACAAAACAAAACAAAAAAAACTTGAACAGCAATTAATTTCAATTCAATTTCAGAACTCATTTTGAAATGAGTTTTCTTCTTCTTTTTTTTTTTTTGAGCCAGGACCTCACTTTGTAGCCTGGGCTGCCTCCAACTCCACATCCTTCTGCATCAGCATCCTGCGTGCTGAGATTACAGCTGTGCACCACCATACTCGGCTTCATTTCCCTTTTTGAAATAGTAAGTTTAGAGCAGATTGCTCTATCCATTTAAAACTAGAGACCAAGTCACGGAAAATAACTTACTCAGGCCACAGCTGCTGGTGTGTGTATGTGTATGTGTATGTGTGTGTGTGTGTGTGTGTGTGTGTGTATGTGTGTGTAGATTTCTTAGAGGAAACAGACACAGAAAAATATCAGTATTTTCATTAAGGAAAGGAGCCCTAAATGAAATGTGACCCTTACAGTTTGTCATGAGAGATGATAGTAAACACATCGCAATAATCTACCATTTAATGGCACCACTTCTAATTTTTCTCGAGTGTTTTATTTGGCCAGAGGCTCATACACATATACGTGAAAACGCCACTGAGCTCTAACCAGTCACAATGTAAAATAAACCCCACTTCCTCCTTTTATGATTAAAGTGATATTTGAATCTGTGTGTCCATGAGCCAACATTTGTTTCATTTGGCTTTTTAATGGGTCTTGAATGTCTCTAAAAGTTTATTTGGCAGTTGATCAGTCCCCACAGAGTGTACGAGGAAGATGTAACATATTGTAGGGGACAGATAGATATGATTAAAATAAACACCTGAAGGACAGCCATAAGACGTCATAGCAGCTGGATCCTAACCAACAGTTATCATATCAAAGTCAAAAAAAAAAACAAACAAAGAAAAAAGTCAGCATTCATTAGAACAGGCTTGGAGAGAAATGGGGTCATCCATCTTGGACAAAGGAAATGGCACACAAAAAATACTTCATATTTCTAATTCTAGTACTTCATATTAGAGCTTTCTTGTTACTTATATAGCAAAACAGCTCTCATATTTCAGTTAAATAATTAAAGCCTTTTAGTATACATTTTATACATTGAAGACAAACTCCAAAACATATGCTGTTTTGGGCCTAAGTTTGGTTTTTGGCAGTACTGGGGTTAAAACTAAAGGTCTCACGATTGCTGGGCAAGTGCTCTACCAATTGATCCACGCCCCCAGCCCTTTTTGCTTTAGTTATTTTTTGAATAGGGTCTCGAATTTTTGCCTGGGGTCAGCCTTGGACCATGATCCACCTACCTATGTCTCCCAAGTAGATGGGATTTTAGGCACATGCCACCATGCTTGCCATGTTTGTTAACGTGGGGTCTTGCTAACCTTTTGCCTGGGCTGGCCTCAAACCTTGATCCTCCCAATCTCTACCTCCTGAGTAGCTAGGGTTACAGGTATAAGCCAACATACCTGGCCCTCGTAAGTCTTTTTTTACGTGGGGTGACTGGGGTTTGAACTCAGGGCTTCATGTTTGCAAAGCCAGGTGCTCTACTGCTTGAGTTACACCTCCGGTCCCCTCATAAGTCTTTATATAACCCCAAAAACTCAATATAAGGTAAGTAGCCAATAAAGAGTGGGTAAAAATTCAAACAGATACTTCTCCAAAAAGATATAGAAATGACAAATAGACAAAATGATGTTCAACATCATTAGTCATTAGGGAAATGCAAATTACAATCAGAATGAGACACTAGACATACCCACCAGAATGGCTAAAATGGAAAAGACTGATAACACAAATTGTTGGTCAGGACATGGAGCAACTGAAATCCTCAAGGATTAGTACTGTCAGTGGGAAATGGCACAGCCACTTTAGAAAACCAGTTTGCAAGTTTTCAAAAAAAAAACAAAATATGTGTTCAACATACAACCTGACATATAATTTCTAATTATTAATCCGAGTGAAATGAAAACATATGTACCTGTAAAGACCTGTACACAAAAATGTTCATAATATCATTATATATAATAGCCAAAAAGTAAAAACAACACGAAGATCAATGGATTGGCTAAAGGATACAAGATGGAGTATGTATACACAAAGGAATACTATGTAGCAGTAAAAAAGGGCTGGGTATGGCTCAAGTGGTAGAGTGCCTCCCTAGTGCAAGGCCCTGCATTTGAACCCCAGAACCA